GCTTATCTGAGAATGTGGATATTGTTGTTATACATATCTGTTGAGAATGTGGGTAGTGCTTATATGCCTATCTGTTGAAAAAGGGAAAATGAAAAGTAATTTGGACTCATAAGTCGCGTATGACATAAATATGTGATTTGTTATTTTGTATCAGTGTTGGCCATCTATCAATTGCTAATCTTTTAGTCATTGTTCATGGTTGGTTTAGTGTATTTCTACTGGGCTGTGGCTCACCCTATATGGGAATATCATTTTCAGGTGCAGGAAGCATGCCACCTCCAAGGACATAGCTTGGGAGGCTAGAGGCGGACATAATGTTGTCGTTTTACTTTTTGATGTATTACATGTAAATACAAGCCAAGGGCTTAATGTGTATGAGTTAGTACTCTTTTGTTGTAACCAAGTGTTAACTTGGAAAGCTGTAAGCCTGTAGGGCATTTGCTTTTGTTGTTAACATGTAATACTTTTTGTAATGAAACTCTGAGAAATGAAAGAATGTGGAACTTTTGAATATCAATGCCTGTCTTATTTGTTGGGTTTAATGTTATTATTTTGAGGGCGTTACATGTATTGTAATAGAACTACCTTTTAAACTGACAGTGATCATTCCATAGGTGTTCTCAAAATCGATCATGTTCAGTGTACGTACTTATTGCATAACACCCACCTATTTGCCTAAGGTCATTGCCTTAATGATGGAGTTAATTATTCTATCATATAACAACAAAACAGGTATAGGCCATAGTAGTGTGACGCCCAATCAACACCCATAGCCTAGAACATTAATTGGGTCTACAAGGCACCGAAAAATCATAACTCCCAATTTTTGATTCATTAACCATTAGCATGTTTTTCTACAATGTTACCCAAGGGACCTTATGTTCACATCATATGTAATATTAAATATAACATTACCCATAATAACATATAAAATGCAAAATAAAATTATAGCAATTTATTTAATCAATCAATAAAGTCAACAAATTGGTTTTTGAGGGCACAAATGCTAACAAAATAAAATAAGGAGGTTCCAAACACAACAATAAAAATGTCAAGAGATATCCCACTAGTCCCAGAAGTTCAAACTCAACTAAGCAGATCGCTCGAGCTCCCAATCTTGCTGCGCTCCAGCGTGCAGACCAACAAAGTTGGCCGCTCAAGCGACCACTCCTACGCTAGAGTGGGAATTCACAACTCTTAGAATTTTGGATAGACTGCAAAAGTACTGGAAGCCTCATAAATCCGCTCGAGCGTCAACTCCCCCGCTCGAGCGAAAGGAAAAATTCTAGATTGTTACAAAAAAGTTAACGACAAAATATCATATTAAAATCATAATCATTTCATTTTTTCTCTCACAAAAGTTAAAAAATCAACCCAAACGAATTTCTAACCAGAGCTAAAATAGCCAAAATGTCAAACAGTCAAAAAAACTAACCCACATGCCAAATGACAACTAAATATCCAAATAATATGACCTATTGAAAAATAAATATATGTATTAAACTAATTAAAATATAAGTACTTGAAAAAAGTGCTTAAAAATTTTTTTTCTAATAAATTTCTCTATATATAATAATTAGAGCATTAATATTATTTTTTGATACTATGAATTGTTTGTTTTTATTTTAACTTGGACTTTCACTAAGGAAAACGAGTAACATCAGCATCAATTTACATCACGTGCTGATCTTGACGTTTATGAGTGGTAGGTCCCACGTAAACAATGATTCATCCCACTAAAAACATCACCACTAATAGCACTAATGCATTAAAAAAGTAAAAAAAAAAAAATACAACTCCAAGACCAAAACATCACATCATTAATGGCGGGACCCACTGCCACCTAATTAGTGGGAGCACTAATTAGTGCTCCCAAGCATTTTTCTTTACATGGACATGCCAAATAGGCATTCGGTCATCTCCTCGGTAGTTTATTCGGGGCCTAGCATTATTGTTCAAATATATTTTAAAAGTTTTATTTAATTTAAGAGTAAGTGTGCATTGAGATACTAAATAGAAAAATTCAAATAGAAAGAATCATTAATCGAGGAAGCCAATTACCAAAGTAATTTTACCTTGGATAACGTGAAGATTTTCGGTGTAGATTTTAATAAGATGAAGTATCAATAAATCTTAAAATGTGATCTTATAAATTGTTTAATCTTTTATTTTTTCTTATGAACCCATAGATCTCATTAAAGTGAAAATTACATAAAAGAGTAGTCACTTACATGTATGGGCTTAATTTTTTAAGGACAAAAGTGGATTTCTCTAAATGTAAAATTACATATTTAGGCAATCCGTACTATAGAGATTTTGAATTTTTTCTCATTTTGGAACAAATTTCACATTATGCACAATAATGTAACACTCTAATATAACACTTCAATAACGTAACAATTCAATGTAACACACAAAAAAATTTCTTTGTGTTTTTTTCTCAAACGTAATAACATAACATTCCAAAAAAATCCCTTAGTGTATTTTTCTCAAACGTAATACTTCAATGTAACACACCAAAATGTAACACTTCTTTCAAAAAAATCTGTTTTCTCAAAACGATTTGCCGGATTTGGACTCTTTGGTTCAGACTTAGAACCGTGACTGAAAAAAGTCGAGTCCGAGCTGTAGCGAGGTCCCCCCGCGGGCTTGTTACAGTAATACACAAAAAAAATTAAAAAACTCTTAATGTACTTTTTTCAATTGTAACACTCACAGTTTGAAATTATACATTTGCTCAAAGGTTACTACGGAATTTTGTACTCCTTTTGGAATGGTTTAAAAAATCCCACGTCATTTTTTTGGAATGTTACATTTGAGAAAAGTACGCTAAGAAATTTATTTATGTATTATATTGGAGTGTTACACTAACATTGTGTTTGGTTGGGGGATTTGAGAAAGGATTTGGAAAGGGAAATGAAAAAAGTGAGTGAAACTAAAATGAAGGTATATTTTATTCATATTTCACATAACTTTTTCCTTTTTATATTTAAATCCATTCCCAAATCTCCCAACCGAACATAAGAAGTTTTTGGTAGTATTATTAGAGTGTTACGTTGGAGAAAAGTACACTAAGAATTTTTTTTGGAGTGTTATGTTTGAGTGTTACATTAGAGTGTTCTAGTTTGAAATTATACATTGGTCCAAAACTTACTAAGGAGTTTTTATACTCCTTTTGAAATGTTTGAAGAATTGGACATTGTTTTGGAATAGTTAAAGAATTTCATATTTCAAGTCAGTTTTGTATTCCTTTTGAAATATTTTCTAAATAAAAAAAAAATTCACATATAAAAATTCATCCCAAATTTGATTCTCATATATTATGTACCTTACTTTTCTAGCACAAAAGAAAAAAAAGAAAGAAAGAAACATAATAGAAATAAGGGTATAACCATAAATTTAATTTTTAAATAATATATTAAATCTACCTTTCCAAAATCAATGGAATTAATTAATCTATAAAAAAATCTTTAGGGTTAAATAAATTACCATTACTCAAGATGAAATTTATAAGTAAACTTTTCATTTTAATATTTATTTATAACCAAACCAAATCAAATGGAATTAAACTTTGCGTATCAATCAATTGGGTCAACTAATTCGTATATTTTTTAAAAATATTTATTTATATTCTAAAAAGAACAAGAAGATAAAATGGAAAATTTAGTCAGAATTTTTTAACAAAAAATAAAATCTAAAAACATCCCACTTTCTTAAATAATATAATTAAAAAAAAATAAAAAATCTCACCATTTCCTAGGACATACTTTTTAAGTTTATTGTAATGAGATTCACATATTCCTTCTCTATAATTCTTGTCATTCAAACATAATCAAATAGAAAGAATTGGTCCATGAAAGGATATCAGATCAATTCTTGAACTTTTTTTTTATCCATTCAATGCTATACAATTCAATTTAAGAAAATTCCTAAAATTCAAGTCTCTTCATTTTTTTAACCATTGAAAAAAAAAATTCTTAATTTCTACTTCTTCTATCTCTTCATCTCCTCTCATTTGTGTCATACTAAAGAGCAAAAAAATAAAGAAAAAGATAAAAAGCAAATATAAAAAAGAAAAGAGAGAAAAAGTTATATATATTATGTGAAAGAATTCATCATTCACTGGGAGTCAAAATTGTTAGTCTCAGTTGATTCCAGACTCTGTTTGGGAAAGTCTCATGGACCTTGACTTCAATCCCACACTAGTGGTTCATCATCGTCTGCTGCACACTTTGCATAAAAACAACACCAACCATTTAATATACTATTTATAAGATTCATACATAATATTTCATTTTTGTTATATTTCGATTATAAATTTAAATATAGATTTAAAAAGTAAAAAAAAAAATAACTTATATTTCATTCATATTGTTCATATATTTTCTCTTTTTCTTTTTAAATTTCTACTAAAATTCATAATCCAAACATAACATTCAAGTGTTTTGGCATTTATTGAGGTTTCGTTTGGCTTGTTTTGACCAAAAATATTTTCAAACTGAAAATATATTTTACAGAATTGGTTTTGTCAAAAAATATCTTTCGAAGACAATATTTTCATGTGTTTGACTATGTGATGGCAGTTGTGGTGTGGTATTGGGGGTATTCACAATCGGAAAACCTTAGCATCAGCTCTTCTCCTCCTTCTCCTAATCTTTATGTTGTTTTTCAATGGGGCTAACAACCCTTTGATATATATATATTTAGATATATGTAAACCCTAAGGATAGGAGAGGGGACTGGGCCTAAATAAAATAACTACTGAGCCATCCCATTAAGGAACCCAAATAACTTAAAACAGGCCTTACACTTCCATATCACATATCCACTTATAAAATAATAAACACACCAAGATACACCATGGTCCAAAACTTTATGAATCACAATGATAATTTTGGACTCATACCCGTTAATCTGTCTGAATCACTTTCAACTTGTTTTTCACAAACCAAACAAAATATAATCAATGACAGCCTAATTAAAAACAAATTCTTATATTACCATCTCTCTAACTGGAACTGGAATTAAAACCCTAACTCTAACTCTTCTTTTACCAACAACAACAGCAACAACCACTGCAACTGGTATGGTGTCCACTGCGACTCTACCTCCAAAAGAGTTATTGCTATTAACATCACTTTCTCGCTTTCCCCTATTTCCCTCCCTCTCCGGAACCCTTTCTCTTTGTATTGGAAACCTACCTAAGCTTCGCACTCTCTCTCTCTTCCCCACAATCTACTTTCCGGTCTGATTCCATCTCTAATCAACAATATTCAGTCTTTACAAATCCTTGTGCTCCAAGGAAATAATTTCTCCGGACGCATTCCTTATCAAATAACATATCTCTCCTATCTCCGTTTCCTTAATTTATCTTATAATACGTTCTCCGGTCTTATTCCGGATACCTTGATTGGTTTCGCTAAAGTAAATAATCTTGATTGCTCCAATAATCAGCTTTCTGGTCCAATTGATCTCCATAAATTTGATGTTATATCTAAATATGTGTCTCTCAATCATTTGAAGCTCTCTAACAACTATTTTGTCGAAGCTATTCCTTCTGTTATCAGCAAATGCTCCAACTTGAGAACTCGTTTGCTTGATGGCAACATTTTCCAAGGTCTCATTCCTCTCGAGTTAGGCCAAATTCACCACCTCCATATTCACGACGTTTCCAGAAATAGTATCACCGATAGGATTCCTACACAACTAGCCAACTGCCGAAAGCTTTCTTTTGTCATGTTGACCAATTTGGCTGATCCCCAATCTGACCAAAATAGCTCCTCCGCTGCCAATGGTGGTTGTGGTGTTGGAGAATTCAATGCCTTTGACCGTGGTATACCTTATAAGGTGTTGTTGCTTTCAAACCTTCAGGTATTGTGGACGCCAAAGGCAAATCTCAAGGGTAGGTTGCTTGACAACTAGAGGAGAGATAATAGCAATAATACCTATTATTGATCCCTGAGGGTAGTCAATCTTAGGCAAAATTATTTTACTGGTGACCTACCTCAGAATATGGCAGTAGCATGCAAAAATTTCACTAGGATTTGAGTTCAAATGGTTTACAAGGGTACTTTCTTTGACAGCTGCAAGTTGCATGTATGGGGTATTTCAGTGTCAGCAGAAATTCGTTGTCAGGTTTTCTTCCAAGATTTAGCAACAACACAAGTTGTGATATTAGCATGATTTCTTATGGGAAAGATCTTAACTTGTTATACGAGGAAGATGTTTAGATAGCCTACTCTAACATACCTATTTGGGGTTCTTAGATGAACACCTTCTTCGAATCCAACTCAGATGATCATTTATCTATGGTTGTCCATGATTTTAGTTGGAATGGCTTCTCTGGTTCTTTGTCTTTCTTCTCATTTATGAATAAGTTCTTACTGACCATTGGTAAGACCTCATATGGATTGTTGGTGAACAATAATATGTTTAACGGGTTTATTCTAGGAGTGCTATTTTCAAACTGTAATGATTTGCAGAGCTTTTCAGCTAACTTGAGTGCTAACCAAATATCTGGTGCACTAGACCCTGAGTTACTCCTTGATTGCACATAGTTAATCGTTTTTGAAGCAGCACAGAACTGTATTGGTGGGTCAATTCCTTCCAAGATTAGCAACTTAAAGATGCTTAAATTTCTCAACTTAAGTAGAAACTTGTTGTCTGGATCCTTATTCAGTTAGGAGAGTTTAAGGATTTGGAGTTGATTTCTCTCCAAGACAACAATTTGACTGGAGAAATCCCAACTCAACTTGGTCAATTAACTTCTCTTGGTTTTGGATCTCTCTCAAAATGCCCTAACTGGATCCATCCCTGGAAGCTTAGCCAATGCCACAAGTCTTCAAGTTGTTTTGCTGGATCACAACAGGCTTTCTGGGGAGATACCTATATCTTTTTCAAAGCTTGTCAATCTTATTCAACTAGATCTTTCTTTCAATAACCTTTCAGGTCATATACCTCATCTTCAACACGCAAATAATTCTGATTGTTTTGGAAGGAATTGATTTTTAAGTTTGTGCCGAACTAGTACTCAGCACCACTAACTGGGCTTCCAGTACCACTTCAAGTTCAGAAGTGGCACAGTCGAAGTAAACTGAAGTCTTTTGTAATAGTGATGGCCATTTCTGCATCTTTTGTGCTTTTTGTCTTAGTAGTTATAGTTCTTTTCCTTCTCATTGGAAGGGGAAAGCTTAGTAGACTCACTAGCTTAAAAAAGAAAGTTGTAGTGACCTTTGCATATGCTCCAATTGGACTGAATTACGACAATGTGGTTGGAGCAACTGGGAATTTCAGTATCCGTAACCTAATTGGCACAAGAGGCTTTGGGTCAACTTACAAGACAGAATTGGTCCCAGGCTTCCTTGTAGCTGTGAAGAGGCTCTCAATTGGTAGATTTCAAGGGATTCGACAGTTTAATGCAGAGATATGAACTCTAGAAAGAAAATTCGGCATAAGAACCTTGTGACTCTCATTAGGTGCTACATGGAAGAAGCTGAGATGTTCTTGATTTACAACTATCTTTCTAGTGGAAATCTTGAAACCTTCATACATGAAAGGTCAAACAATAATGTAGAATGGTCAGTGATCCACAAGATAGCTATTGACATGGCCCAAGCTTTGCCTTTTCCTTCATTACTCTTGTGTTTCCCGCATAGTTCATCATGACATCAAGCCTAGCAACATCTTACTTTATGAGGAGTTTAATGCGTACTTGTTTGACTTTAGGTTAGCTCAGCTTCTAGAAGTTTTTGAGACCCATGCTACCACGGTTGTAGCAAGCACATTTGGGTATGTGGCACCAGAATATGCAACCATTTGCAGGGTTTCTGACAAGGCAGATGTTTATAGTTTTGGGGTTGTGCTCTTGGAACTGATGTCATGAAAGCAGTCGCTCAATCCATCATTTTCTGAGTATGGTAATGGGTTCAATATTGTTGCATGGGCTAAATTGCTAATCAAGAAGGGATGTTCTTCTGAGCTCTTTTCCCTAGAACTGTGGGAAGCCGGGCCTAAAGAGAGTTTGTTGGGGATTTTGAGACTTGTATCATCTGCACAGTGGAGTCGTTTTCTATTTGCCCATCAATGAATCAAGTCCTTGAGAAACTGAAGCAACTTAATTCCTGAAAAACGATCACCTTTTTCTCAACACTTAGTATTGGACAATAATAAGAAGGTCATCATGCTTTGTCTATGCTACTGAGGTCAGGCCATTCGTTGATAGGTTTAATCATTATCATATCCTTCTTCTGATTCTAGAATTGGAAATATATTTCTTGACTTCAACTTAATGCTTCATTATTGATATCATCAAACTTCATTTTCAGAAATATAATCTTGTATATATATATATATTTTTTTGGTTTCAAAATTTCTGCAGCATTTTGAAGTGTGAAACACAGTTAAATGCACCTTCTTGGTCAATAGCAGAGAATCAAACATTTGCATCTTTGACTGGAACCTATAACTTGAAATCCATTTCTGCAATAGTGCCCACATATATGATAATTAATGTATTACATCCAATTACTCTGGAGACTACCCAATTTTCTCAATCTACCAAACAACTATTCTTGACTTGTCCTGTTCTCAATTTTCATGTTTTGTAATATACGTAATGTGTATGCATGTGACTGCATGATCATACTGGCTAGAATGTTATCTGACAAGCATGGCTAACCTCCAAGAATGCAACATAGTGTTAATCTGAAGCCCTGCTTGATGGCTTTTACATTAATCATTGATATTTTGTAACTTTTTGTTTTTTACAGGTAACGTCACTCACACACATGGAGCTCTCATCACTAAGCATCATGGTTTGGTGGTTCTTCACACGACTTAAGGTTGTATGCTATTTGCATTAAAATTTCCCATTTTCTTTGCTTTTGATCAAAGTGATAAGCTACCTCATGCACCATTTTCCTTTTGGCAATGTAAAACCAATTAGTAGTTGGACATTTTGTTGTCATGCTGAATTCAGTGGGGCTGTAAATGTACTGCACTTGTTCGTCGCTGCTTAATTTGAGTTGCCAGTTCATGTGGTTCAGCAATTTTGAACTGACAATACACTGGAAACATTGTATATAACAACACGTCTTATATTATTCTATTTGCATAGCTTTCTTGGTATAATTTATGAGTTGGAAGACAACACTCTCTCAACACCATCTCTAAACCACCAGAAGCATAAATATGGATGCTGGCACATACAGTCCCTCTCCACAATAAAACCTTAGCTTTGAAGTTTGAGGGATGGGATTGTAAGAAACTAGACCTTTTTACTACTACCAACTCAATCACCACCATGTATCAATATCATTAACCATCTGACAACAGGAGAGTGGGCCGCACAATGCTTGATACAACTAATTAATTTACTTCCCAATAAAAACAAGAAAAGAAAACTATATTTACACGTTGCAAGTAAAAACTTAACCAAATGCTGTTGAATCTGTGTTATTGAAAAGGTTTTCCCATAAAATGGCAACATAAACATTTACATTATTCAGGAAACCTTGGAAAGTCAAGCAGACAAAGTAAAAGAAAAATTAAATGATAAATAAATTTATAAAAAGAAAAACGGATGAAAAGCTCACTCTATACATATCCTAATGGACTAGTGAAAAAGAAAACAAACCCTGGGCACGCATCCATGTAAGTAAAGGTATTGTTGCATTGCATGTGGAGATCTTAGGTAGAGAATTTCAAAGCACTCTCTCAGCCAGACATGGGAGTAGCAGCAGCAGCTTAGGTTCCAAAAATAACATCAAAGAGCAATAGCACTCTGTTTAGCCTTAAGGACAAGCTCCTCAGTGGTTGTGCCAATGATCTCATTAGCATGCTTAAGACTGACACAGTAATATCTTCCAATCGAATCCTGTTTTGAAATATTGACTCTCATCAAGAGAACAAAGCCACACACAAAAAAAAAAAAATGACATAACGATATTTAGCTCAACAGGTATCAGTTACGATTTGCATAAAGAATGCTTTACTAAAACTCTATCCTATAGAGAGTAATATTATCAAATTATCTGTATGCAACTACAAAAACGTACACCGTACGTGTTCCATAGGCAGAGATAAAAGCATCGCACTAGGGCCATAATTTATCCAGTTCAATGAACAAACCATATCTCTAGCAAAGCTAGATCCCTTGGCAAGGGTAAGGTTTCCGCTCAGTGTATCCCCTTACTAGTGTTAAACCCACAAAAATTCATTTGAATTGAAGAGAGAATAACATATTAATTCAAGTACCACCCACGTTACCAGGAAGGAGAAAAAGATGATCTCACCCGAGCAACAATGCCTAATTTATCTAGTTTCTAAACTGCATCATCCACATCAAAATTACATCTCTCACCAAATTCTTCCACGATTAGTTCTTCACACTGCAGGTCAAGATCCTATGTCACAGTATCACGAGTCATGCATTAACAATTTTGCAGATAATACTGGAATCGGTAAATGAACATTGCAATAGGCAGCAAGGAAGTAATGCAAAATACCTGTTGAGTAGCTTTGCCATGTTCCATCAATATAAAAAATGAAATGATTGCCTCCTTTACCTGTACATTCAAATAACAAGATTCTATGAGCAATTGGCTTTGTGCAATAACTTACATCAAGGTTGAGAAATTCTTGATTGACTAGCAAGCCTTATTGAATCAGATTCAAGATTCATCCAATGATCCATATAATTAAAAGCTTCAATGAAAACCTAATAACGATGGAACACTGATCTAAATTCCCTTTTAAACTGCAGTTCAGACATTGTATATTTATGAACCAACTTAGGTAAGATTCAGATAGTTTACTAGTTGACACTACAATAAAAAAAGGTTTTTACGGCACCCAATGCACGCCGTAAAAACCCTTCTACGATGTACACGCGCGTCATATTATGACCAGTCATGGAAAGTCATTCACTTTCAACGACATGCGTCGTACACCGTTAAAAACTATTTAACAGCGGATTTTGTGCGTCATTGTTACTTTTTCTATGACATGCTATAGTACGCCGTTAAAAACTATTTAACGGCAGATTTTGTGTGTTGTTACTTTTTCTACTACTACTTTTGCATGCCGTTAATTGGTGAGACAAATAACGACGCTAATTGTGCGCCGTAAAATATGTAATACAACGACTTATTATGCTTGCCGTAGAATATGCAGTTTTTTTAAAAAATAAAAATAAAAATTCAGCAGGTTCTATTTGACCAATTTTGTACAATCTAACAAATATTACAAACAAGCATCACAAAACATTAATCAGGCACCAAAATATTATTTGAAACATCAAAAAGAAACTATATCTATAAATTATAAACGTTCAACAATTGCCTATATATTTTAAACATTCGAAAACTATATCCTTAAGTTCTAAATTGTACAAAAAGTTTAAACCATCCAAAACTATGCATATCTAACTTTCTAAACATATCAACAACTATTAAGAGATTATCTAAAACTACCGACAACAGTTTCTATAGCAGTTGCAACTGCAGCTGTAGCAAATCCACTTCCTCCTATCACAGGGACAAGGGTGCCCAATGTTTGTGTTAAGGGACCTAAACCTGCAACAATACCTGGAGCAACTAACCCTTTTGCATTTCTTATCTACATGATAAAGGAAACTTCACATAAGTACAAAAACCTACGACTCAAGGGCAAAAATATTTCTTGAGGTATTAAGAAATGATCAAGAAATTTAAAAAAGTCAAAAATACCTTCCCATTATCTCTACTTTTTTGCTCATTTTTTCTTAAAAATCCAAGAAGCCATTCTCAAATACTTCAGTTTTTTTTACCTTATATATTATCCAAACAGATAATTTGAAGAAGCACCAGAATTATACATTAGGAGTGCAAGAGTACAAGTTTCAAAGCTGAAAGTACACCAATGAATTATTAGATGCTAGGATGAGAAACAAACATTAAAAATAATTTATTACCTGTGCAGGATGACTTTGTATTGTATCAATGATATATTTCTCATGCCCCCATTTGAGGTGGCGCCTTGCACCAAAACATCCCTTGGAACAGTTGACCAATCACCCATCAGTGTCTATCATATAATTCAATTCATCCACAAACAATTGCATTACAAAGAGAACCATGACTAATGCCATTATAAGCTTCCAGAATAGCAATTAGCAAACTATAAGTAGAACAGAAAGCAAGCAGTGTACCTGAATTAGATGTCATATCTTCTGCATGCTAACTAATTTCCCACTAGAAGCATCAAGGCCCAAACTCTCATAATCACCCTTGAAAACTGTAGCAGGTTAATGAGAAGAGAAAAATAGTAAATTGATCACAAATCCATATGATTTTAGTAATTGACTTAATTAGTAGATGCAATCACGACCAAAATATAGTACACAACTTCAACAGAGTGACTTCCACACCAAAACTTCAAAAAGAAGAAGGAAGAGGGGGAAGAGTACATGAAACATCAGCCTACATCAAAAACATTAAAAAGCAGCCAGCAACACTCCTAACTATCACCAAATTATAAACCATTAATCTATTGATACCACATTGCTTCCTTTTCGGAGAATACCAATTTCCTGTTCTCTTGGTCTGCTTGGATTATCTAGAATAATTAAGAATGATCAAAGTTTTGTTTTCATCCCATAATGCTAAGGTGATTTGTGGATTAGTACTTGTTTAGGGAGGAAAGTAAACAAAGTAACCTAAAAATGAAAAGATTTTCCATTTCATGATTGTGATAAGTACTCTGCAACTTCAACATTTATAAGCAACTTAAATGCTGCCCAACTCATACAAATATAAAATCAAGGCCAAACAGTTGCATGAGGGACCTAAAGCCTTTAGAGAAAAACTAAAGCAAGAAACATCAATACAAATGAACATAAGACATTTATTCTTTCGAAAAGACATAGCAGAAATAGAAGAAATGCCAAAGAAATTCTACAAGATGGTCCAAATGTTAAAAAAATTTCATTTCTCCCTATTATATTATCGCATGCTTTACTGTTTCTCTCACCTTTCAAATATTAGCACACCCATAAATATAATAGAGTTGTATGCTCTCCTCTCTTTGCATTGATTTGACCAATGAAACTTAAAAGCACAATTTCCCAGCTTCTATTTGGTCCTTTTCACTTAAAATGATCATTGAAGACATGCAGATTACTCTTGGGAATGAAATCATAAAGCTAAAGTTCTGTCTTACTCCAAGTTTTAACTTTCCTTCTGCAATACACTGTAGGTTTTTTTTTTTTTTTTTTTTTTTTTTTTTTTTTTTTTTTTGGGGTCTAACGGGCCATCCTTATAATGAACATTATTCAGTCTTACAGGATTTGCACCAAAACTTTAGAAGTCACACTTTCATCCCACTGACTCCCCAACTCTAATTAATATGGTCTTGCATACCCCTTAGCTTCAGTAACCATCCTAACCTTTAATAACAATTTCTGGATCTATCATTTTTTTCCCCTTAACCATGGTCTCTAAATGATATAAACTGTTTTGATGCCATCAGTTATATCTTTCCTGAACATGAGATATACATGATTTACAGCCATGCATTAAGGGGCCAACTTGTGCGGTAGAAATTTAAAACATATGCTTCCAGTGTGTTACTGGTTTTGTGAAAATCTTGAATACACACTCAAAAGTGCTTCTCAAGTACTCACTTGAGAGACAAGATATATGTAATAGAAAATGACACAATAACATTGATAGCATACATGAACAATGAAATTCAATACCTTCAAAGAAATAAGTGAACCAGTTAGAGCTTTTGCAATCTCTTCGATGGATTTTTGTGGTTCTACATGGAATGGAATCACAGAGAAATTACAACAGGTTAGAAATTACAATGGAATCACAGAGAAATTACAATCGGTTAACAATTACAAGTCCATGGCATTATGAAAGTTCATTAAACTATCACCAAAACTTCAAAAGAAAGAAGGAAGAGGGGGAAGAGTACATGAAACATCAGCATGCGTCTAAAACATTAAAAAGCAGCCTGCAACACTCCTAACTATCACCAAATTACAAACCATTAATCTGTTGATACTATAGATTTCTAAGCATTTAGTAAAATCAAAATAAAATCTTTTGAAGAATGGCCTATTCAAATTGTAAACCGACGAATCAAGAAGTTGAGAAATAAAGAAATTCCATTAGTGAAAGTGGATTGGCAAAACCATGGTGGCGTTTATGCCACGTCAGAAAGGGAAGATGATATGATGAAAAGATATCCTGAATTGTTCCCCCTGAACCCAGTGTTCTTCCAAAAATGAAGGTAATCCGAGTTTGGAGGACCAAACTCTTTTAAGAAGGGAAGACTGTGACAACCCTCACCTCTGATTAGTGTTATACTGTGATTGAGCATGATAAGTAATTGATTAGAATGAAATCCTAAGTTGTTTGCATGAGTGTGTTGCTTTAATTGCATTTCTATCTGTTTGTCATTTAATGATTTGTTCATGTTTTGATTTCGAATTGCAAATTGAAAGCCTTATCGGCGACCGATTTAGAAATTGATTAGTGTTATATGCTAATTAGGATTTATGGGATTTTATGGTAGGTTTAATTAAAATTCGATTTGGAATGATTAAATTTGAATAAATGAAGTTAAATTACATTAGCTTGAATTATTACATCTTTGCCATTGAGTGGGCCACCTTTAGAGTCATTGTTTGGAGCTTATTTTTACATCATTTCTTCATCCATCTTCTTGAGCAAACCGTGAGAGAGAGGGAGAGAAGGAGAAAATTGATTTCATCAAGAATTGGCTTGGAGAATTTGAGGAATTGAGGAGAATTTGCAAAATTGAGCTAGCATACTTGGAACCCAAGGCCTAAGGTAGGAAACTCACCCTCTTGAACATGAATTTGAGTTGTTTCTTGCATGGTTCATGGAAAGATTGGAGATTAGAGTCAAGTTATAGCCTAAAGAGTTGAATTGAGTAGCAATGTGTGCATGCATGTCCATATCATTGAGTTTTGAGATCATTTACATGAGAACTTCCACATGCATGTCCATATTTTGGTTGTAGTCCATGAATTCACCATGTTTGAAAGTTCAATCTTGAATTTGACCATGTTTTAGAGCATTGGAGTTCTTTGGGACTCATGCATGTTGTGTTCTTGCTATGTTCATAAAGTTTCATTCAAAAATTGTGTTCAATTGTCACACCTTTGGACTTAATTTTATAAAATGATCTTTGAAACATGTTGTACTATGGGTTTCTAAGTGTTTTCCAGAAAATTAGCCCAGAAAAATCGAGTTTGAAGCTTTAATGCTTAAGTTTTGTACTTGGGGATCAATCTGGAAATTCCAAATTTTTTATCCACGCTCGAGTGGAGGACTTCACGCTCGAGCGTACACTCTGAGTACATGTACTTCCACTCGAGCGTAGGAAGTCACGCTCGAGTATGAAATGCATATGCCCAGAAGTTCTTGTGTTTTGCAGTCCGCTTGAGTGTGGTAACCTGCGCTCGAGCGAGAGTCTGAGTCTCACGCTCGATCGTGGGTCGAACGTCCATCGAGCATGAAAAACGTGCATCCAGTACTTTTCACAAGTTTGTAGTCCGCTCGAGCGAGGGAAGTCACTCTCGAGCGGAGCCTCTTTGTCTGCATGTCCGCTCGAGCAGGAAAAGCCACGCTCGAGCGTGACCCCTGTTTTCAGCAAAATTTGAAAAGTGTTTTAAAGTGCATTTTTGCATCCTCATTCCATCCTAGGCATTTTTAGGCCAAGTTTAAAGCATCTTAATGAGGATAATGTTATAGAACCACATCAAGTCAAGTTAAGGGGCTAAGCTATTAATCTCAAGTGTGTAACTTAGTGTATGTGTTCATTCTGCAACTGTGTAGGGTCGGCACCCGAGAACGCTGACTAGCCTGTCTGTAGCCTAGTACTCTGTGAGAACAATGTTGTAAAGTTATGTTAAATTATAATTATTTTCTGAATAATTGACTGTACTGCTTTCTGAAATGATATTGTTTACTGAATGAATGTTTGTCCTATTTTATGAACTATACTCGTGGCATCCAGAGCAACTGACTGTTACTGCTACTGCTACTGTTACTGCTACTGTTACAGAGATCTCTGTCAGTTTCAATGTTTGGAACTACTACTGTTTACTGTTTTGATGGCCATCAACTGACTATTCAGTCTATTAAGACCTACTGTACTGTTTTGCTATTGGACGTACCACGTATGATTGTTATGAATTCTAAACGACTGATATGGCATGAAATATGAGCCACCGATTGAATAACTGATTTTCTGATGCAAACGACTGTTTTAATTAATGAAAGGACATTCATTCTTAACCCCTTTACGCATTCGTTATTCACTGGGCTTTAGCTCACTATTTATATTTATATGTAGGTGCCCATGCCTCGGACCGAAGCTAGGAGCGTCAAGTTAAGCTCTCGTTTTGTCAAGCCAACCCTCGTGCCTCACTTCGACGTTCCGAGTTCGTTCAAGCTAAGGCTGTTTTAGGGTGTTCAGAATCACCCTTTTGTCTCTGTTTTGTACCGACTGAATAAGATTTGACTGTACAGTTATAGTGAAGTGACTTGGTCCCTAACCTGGATGTTATTTGTATATAATGTATATATATTTGTTTTGGTTATGGATGTGGTTTGTTCATAGAAGTCTTTTTCTCCATTCAGATTTTCACAGCTCATTGAACATCTTTTATTTACTGTTTGGCTTCCGCCAGCCCCTTACTCTGTATTATTATTATTACTGTTAAGCAGGCCTTTGGTAATCACGGATTACTGGCCAGTTACGATGCTAAACCCATAGGGACGGGTTTAGCTCGTGACAGAGTGGTATCAGAGCACGAGTTATACCGCACACACGTGTCCAAATGAGCTATAGGATGTCCTAGAAAAGTAATTAGGGCATTGCATGAGCATGAGAAAATGTGTGTGGCTATGATATGAATACTTGTGCTAATGTGCTTAAGTAGGCAATTTCCTATGTTTATTATTACCGTATTGCATATAGTGAAATGGAGAATGCAAGAAATGCTGATGAGTCTGAATCATCTGAGGCAAGAATTGCAAAGTTAGAAAGAACGGTTGAGCTGTTGACTAAGGCCCTAAGACAACAACAGAACCAACAGCCCCCACCTCCTCCAGTACAACCGAAACCAAATGTTCATGATGATGTAATTGTTTTGACACAGAAGTTCAGCAAAATGAAACCACCATCATTCCAAGGAGGCCTTGAACCACTAAAGGCCGAAGCATGGGTTCTAGAAACTAAAAAATTGTTCGAAATGTTTCCTTGTTCGGAGGCACATAAGGTATTACTGGCTACCTTTACTTTACAAGAAGAGGTCAGACGGTGGTGGATGCTCGTCTGTGACACCAACAATGCTATGACATGGGCTCAGTTTAAAGAATCTTTTTTTGAAAAATACTTTCCCCAGTGTGTCCGAGACCGCAAGGTAACTGAATTTGAACAGTTGAAACAATGTACCATGTCAGTAGCAGAATATGAGTCTAAGTTCACTGAACTCGCCCGATATCCACCACACATGGTTGATACTGATTATAAGAAGGCCAGAAAGTTTGAAGGCGGGCTTAATGTAGAGATACTGGATCGAATCAATATTTTGAAACTACTCAAATATGTGGATGTTCTCAACCAAGCAATTATGGCCGAGGCGAATGTCATTGCATTACAACAAACTAAGACACCAGTGACTGAATGGCGGGGTAAGAGGCAAGGCTTCAATTTCAAAAAGGGTCAGAATAACTCATTGAACAAAAAGCAAAACATAGGGTCAACAAGTAATTCTAGTCAGGGAAACAGTTCCATACCACCCTACTCCAAATGTGGCAAAAGACATAAGAGGGTTTACTACAAGATTTCTGGTGCATGTTACAGGTGTGGCAAGGTGGGCCACATGGTCAAAAATTGCCCTTCCACGTCTCAAGGCAATAGTAAGGCTACAGCTAGTGCCGCAGCATCTACTGTTACACCGAAACCCAATCCCAAAGTTACTGGAAATGAGCCTTTAAGGCAAGGCCGAGACGTGCAGAATACTGAGACAGTTGTGTCAGGTATACTCTCAATTTGTGCCCAAAATGCTTATATTCTGATTGATTCGGGATTTACACATTCATTTGTCTCACATGCTTTTTCACGAAAATTAAATAGACCACTAGAACCCATGAACTATTTGTTAGTTGTATCTTCACCTGCTGGGAGACCCATGACTTGTGCTTATGTGTATCCTACATGTGAGATTGTTATTGGGGATGCACTTTTGTATATTGATTTACTGCCTATGAATATTGATCATTTCGATGTGATTTTGGGAATGAACTGGTTAACGAAATATCATGCTTCCATAGACTGTATAACGAAACAAGTTGTTTTTCGTCCACCTGGATTGCCTGAATTTGTATTTAACGGAGTTGGTGTAGTACCTCCCCCATATCTGATCTTGTCCATGAAGGCTTTTAAATTAATTAAAAAAGGGTGTAAAGGGTATTTATGTTGCATATTAATTGTACCTGTTGATACTAAAACTAAGGTAGACAGTATTCCTATAGTCAGATAATTCCCATATGTTTTTCCAGATGACTTGCTAGGGGATCTGATTGATAGGGAGATTGAGTTCACTATTGAAGTGTTACTGGGTACACAGCCAGTTTCCAAAGCTCCGTACAGAATGGCACCTACCAAATTGAATGAATTGAAAATTCAGCTACAAGAATTGCTGGATAAGAAGTTCAATAGGCCCAGTACATCACCGTGGGGCGCGCTAGTTTTATTTGTGAAAAAGAAAGACGGCTTGCTAAGACTCTGCATTGGCTACCGTGAATTGAACAAGGTAACAGTGAAAAACAAATACCTACTGCCTCGTATTGATGATTTATTTGACCAGTTGCAAGGTGCTCAGGTTTTCTCCAAAATTGACCTTAGATCCAGATATCACCAGTTGATAGTTAAAACAGAGGACAATGAAAAGACCGCCTTCCGAACGAGGTACGGACATTATGAATTTCTTGTTATGCCTTTCGGAGTTACTAATGCGCCTGCCGCATTTATGGACCTTATGAACAGAATTTTCAAGCCATTCCTCGATGAATTTGTGGTTGTTTTTATAGATGACATTTTGATTTATTCCAAGAGTAAGGAAAAACATGAACGTCATTTGAGAATTGTTTTATAGACCTTAAGAGAATAGAAACTATATGCAAAACTAACAAAGTGTGAAGTTTGGCTTGGTAATGTGATGTT